GATTCTGTGTCTCCCTCTCTCTCTGCCCCTCCCCTGCTCTCTCTCTCTCTCAAAAACAAATAAACATAAAAAAACAAAATAAGAAAAGTAGTGGAAATGTTAAACATTCAGATTTGATTTCTTTAAAAGACATATGGCTACTTCTTCCCTCAAAATTAAGTCTTAAAGCCTAAAGATATTAGTTAGAGCACAGCAAGGCAGTCATTTATGCAGAGGAGCAGGGATGTTAGCCCAAGTGGGATGAGCAGGGCAACTATGAAAAGGAGAGGGGAAATTGATAACATATAGAGGGATTAATCAAATAAATATATATATGTAAGATAGTGGAAGCCACTAAGAAGGGAATCACAAATACAGAAGGAAAAGTAGAATTAACCTAGCTGATTTCCAGATCAAATATGGAACACTTTCAATATCAAAACAGATTATAGTAAAAGATAACCCACTAACAAATAACACACTAAATAAACCAGGAGCCCATTCTGATATAAAAAAATAATATGGGGCACCTGGGTGGCTCAGTTGCTTAAGCTTCTGACTTCAGCTCAGGTCATGATCTCATGGTTCGTGAGTCTGAGCCCCACATTGGGCTCTGTGCTGACAACTCAGAGCCTGGAGCCTGCTTCAGATTCTATGTCTCTGTCTCTCTCTGCCCCTCCCCTGCTCATGCTCTGTCTCTCTCTCTCAAAAAATAAATAATAAAACATAAAAAAGAAATAATTTGACAGCTTGATATAGAATATTTTTTCCACAAAATATTTATTTTTTATTTTTATTTTTTTAATATGAAATTTATTGTCAAATTGGTTTCCATACAACACCCAGTGCTCATCCCAACAGGTGCCCTCCTCAATACCCATCACCCACCCCCCCTTCCCTCCCACCCCCTATCTACCCTAAGTTTGTTCTCAGTTTTTAACAGTCTCTTATGTTTTGGCTCTCTCCCTCTCTAACTTTTTTTTTTTTTCTCCTTCTCCTCCCCCATGGTCTTCTGTTAAGTTTCTCAGGATCCACATTAAGAGTGAAAACATATGGTGTCTGTCTTTCTCTGTATGACTTATTTCACTTAGCATCACACTCTCCAGTTCCATCCACATTGCTACAAAAGGCCAGATTTCATTCTTTCTCATTGCCACATAGTATTCCATTGTGTATATAAACCACAAGTTCTTTATCCATTCATCAGTTGATGGACATTTAGGCTCTTTCCATAATTTGGCTGTTGTTGAAAGTGCTGCTATAAACATTGGGGTACAAGTGCCCCTATGCATCAGTACTCCTGTATTCCTTGGGTAAATTCCTAGCAGTGCTATTGCTGGGTCATAGGGTAGGTCTATTTTTAATGCTTTGAGGCCTCCACACTGTTTTCCAGAGCGGCTGCACCAGTTTGCATTCCCACCAAGAGGATTCCCGTTTCTCCACATCCTCTTCAGCATCTATAGTCTCCTGATTTGTTCCTTTTAGCCACTCTGACTGGTGTGAGGTGGTATCTGAGTGTGGTTTTGATTTCCACAAAATATTTATTGATCACAAAGATGAAAGTAGTAACTTCACAGGGAGAGACCTTGTTAATACCACCTGAAGTGATTCAAGTAGACATCATCATTAATGGGAAAATCAAAACTATATGCCACCTGATAGGATGCAATGAAAAGAATACAGACAGCATCATGATCTGCAAAGATGCAGAGACTGAATCTGAATCATCAGGAAACACCAGACAAATCCAAACAGAGGAATATTCTACAAAATAGCCTATAATCTTCAAAAGCTTCAAGGTCATATATGTATATATGTGTATGTATGTATATACATTATATATACATATATATGTGTGTGCGTGTGTGTGTGTGTGTGTGTGTGTGTGTGTGTGTGTATATATATATATATATATATATATAAAATCCCTGAGAAACCATTCTAGATGTAAAGAAACAAAAGAAACATGGCAATGAAGTACAACAAGTGATTCTGAACTGGATTCTTTTGTTATAAAAGATAATATAGGAAATATACCAACATTTAAATGCAGTCAGGATTGGATAACAGTGACGTATCAAAAATAATTTCTTGGGACACCTGGGTGGCTCAGTCGGTTGAGTGACTGACTTTGGCTCAGATCATGATCTCACGGTTCATGGGTTCGAGCCCTGCATTGGACCTGTGCTGACAGCTCAGAGCCTGGAGCCTGCTTCAAATTCTGTGTCTCCCTCTCTCTCTCTCTGCCCCTTCCCTGCCTGTGCCTGTGCCTCTCTCAAAAGTAAATAAACATTTTAAAAAAATAATAATAATTTCTTCATTTCAGTAGTTATACTGTCACTATATACAGAACAGCTGCGCACACACACACGTGCACGCACACACACACACACACAGACAAATCCATAATCCACAATCATTAGAGTTGGAGATTTTACCAACTTCCTATCCATAACTGACAGAATAGACAAAAGTGTATGTGTATGTGTATATATATTTTACAAAATTAAAACATATAATATACATACATTATATCTTAGATATATTCTATAGATCTAAAGACCTAAGGTACTTGTGAGTAACAGGGGCAGTTGGCAAGTTACTTTCAAATGGTCAAATGGCTCCAGACCAAAAAGAAGGTTATTTAAGTTGTATTTGCAGTTTTTCTATAGGTTTTAAATTGTTCCACAATAAAAAAAATGTATGTTCATATAAACAGTGCTGTATTGATGGTGGTACAACATGTGTAGATGTTACACACCTACAACAGTACCAAGCGCTGTTGCCTATTAGCAGGAGTTGCATGCACCACCGGAAGCTAAGAGAAAGGAATGGAACAGAAAAGCTGCTGACACCTTGACTTCCAGTCTCCACAACTGCAAGAAAGTAAATTTCTGCTGTTTTAAGCCACGGGGTTTTGGGGTACTTTGTTACAGCAGCCCTAGGAAACTAATACAAACTGCCCAGTAATAAAAGAAGAGGAACTACTGATACACCAGATGAATCTCAAAAACACCATGTTCAGTGAAAGAAGTGATAGAAGCAAAACCCCAGGGCACCTGAGTGGCTCAGTCGGTTGAGTGGCTCAGTCGGTTAAGCGGCTAACTTCGGCTCAGGTCATGATCTCACAGTTTGTGAGTTCGAGCCCCGCGTTGGGCTCTGTGCTGACAGCTCAGAGCCTGGAGCCTGCTTCAGATTCTGTGTCTCCCTCTCTCTCTGCCCCTCCCCTGCTCTCTCTCTGTCTCTCTCTCAAAAATAAATAACAAACATTAAAAAAATATATTAAAAAAAAAAGTGAAACCCCAAACTAATCTATGAAACAAGAACATCAGAATCATGGTTGCTTCTGGCCAGAGAACAGCAGTCATGGGAGTGACAAGATTGGGGAAAAGCATGAAGACATTTTCTGAGTTGACTGAAATGTTATCTTTCTTGATTAATGTGAGGCTACAAAGTTAGCATCAGTCAAACATCACTGAATTGTACACTTAAAGTTCGGTGTGCATAGCTCAAGGGGAAAAATCCATAAATAAATACGAAAGTCTAGTTAATAAGTATATTTTTTGTAGAAGTTTAGGTTAGCAAACCTGAAAATATTTTCTGTGTACTCTAGGTTTAAGGAAATGTTAGTAGAAACCAGGTGTCTCATTATTGGAGGAGTTATAAATACAGAAAAAAAAAAAAGAAGAAGGCAACAACAAATCTTGTGGTGGTGAATTGGAATGGAAGGTTATGAGTATGAACTCATGTTTTTTTAATACAGATAACTAGCTAGTTTGAAAAAAGGGATGAAGAATAAAAGGTATTTTCCTTCATGTGTCTTTCTATCTCTCTGGATCTAAAAAGGCAAGATAGAAGGGTGTAGGTAAACGGAGTAAGAATACACCACACTGATGGAGATGGTTTCCTTGAACGGATTTTCATTCAATGTGTGGTGGGACTTTTATTTCTAATGATTTGTGACATATACTAATTGTGGTGCACATAAACTACTATTTTTCAGACCTAAGAAGGACAGACTTACAAGCAAAGGAATGAGGAGTGAAAACTTTTTTTTAATGTTTATTTCTGAGAAAGAGTGAGAGAGAGAGAGAGAGAGAGAGAGAGAGAGAGAGAGACAGAGAGAATGTGTGCATGCAAGCAGGGGAGGGGCAAAGACAGAGGGAGACAGAGAATCCCAAGCAGTCTCCCTACTGTCAGCACAGAGACCAACTCGGGGGATCATGACCTCAGCCAAAATCAAGAGTCAGAGACTTAACCAACTAAGTCACCCAGGTGCCCCAGAATGAAAACTTTCTAAAAGTTTTGGTCATTGTCTTGAGATTAATCACTGGCTAATGGAAACATTCTTAGGTGGGTACTTAACTACCTTCAGTCTTTCTTGGATATCTTATGTATTTACTTGGTGATAGAGAGCAACTGAGATGACCTATACTTTTAATCCAAAGGTAGTAATTTAGCTCTTTTTAATAATTAAGGACAATTATATTTTTTCTAGTTCTCAATCTTCTGTTTCGTTTCATTAAAAATTGGTATATTTGACATAGCTTTGACTTTGAGAAATACAAGATAATCTATTCCTTAAATACATTAATACTAGTAGATGCTGCAAAACCAAATATTTTTTTCCTCTACAATTATACTGGCATCTTTTTTCTTTCTCTTTCTTTTTTTTGTAATTAATAGTCAAGTGTACAAATGTAAAAGCCATCAAAATTAGAATACTCAATCTGCCAGATGATAATGAATCAAATCAATGATAGGCACAGCATGCCTAAGCAGTGATACGTCAGAAATCAAGTTGGATGTTGACAGCTCTTCTTGTTAGGACATGTCACTGTTTATAGAAGCCACCATGAGCCAGTCCAACAGATATAAATGAGTGGGAGCTTGTAGCTGATATGCCAAATTCTACTGATTTCATTTGTTAAACTACTACTAGAATGATTTCCATCTGCGAACACAACAAGACATATGAAGAAAGATAGTAAACACACGGGAAGACAGATCCAACACCTTACCATCCACAGGCTTGACCTCAGCTGGTATCTGCTCTTCCTGTGCTCTCATGCTACTCTCTTTAATGCTTTCTATTTCCCGCAAGAAGTCCTCCATGGACGTGCTGTCTATGGAGGCTTGTGAGTTGGAACGGTTAAATGCAGGCGAATGTAGGGACTCATTGGAGAGCATTCTGTTAATTCTTCGGCAGCGAGGAATAGATTTTCTGAGGAAAGAACAATATCTGTTGTTAATAAAAATTAGTGTCTTTTAATGTTACAAATCATGAAATAAAATTTATGTTTAAAATCAATGGAGAAATAGAGTTAAGTGTGATAGAGAGGGCTTTGAGAGAATAATCTCCACTCAGTGGTGGCCCTTCTTTTTTATTCCCTATAATTCATAATGATTCTCTGGCCATGTAGGAATCACCGTGATAATACTTTTTATAATTTTCACACACTTACAAAGCATGCAGTTACTTGTATTGGCCAAAGCATAGAGTTTAGGGCAATATCTCTGATGAATACAGATGCAAAATCCTCAACAGATTATTAGCAAACTGAATTCAACAATCCATTAAAAAAATCATTCACCACCAAGTAGGATTTATTCCAGAGATTCAAGAGTGGCTCAATATCTGCAAATCAATCACAGGATATATCACATTAGCAAAATAAAGGATATAAACCATATGATCATCTCAATAGATGCAGAAAAAGCATTTGACAAAATTCAACATCCACTCATGATAAAACTTCTCAGAAAAATATAGAGGGAACATAATAATAAAGTCCAGATATGACAAACCCACAGCTAACATCATACTCAATGGTAAAAAGCTGAAAGTTTTCCCACTAAGATCAGGAGCAAACCAGAATGTCCACTCTCATACTTATATTCAATATAGTATTGGAAGTTCTAGCCACAGAAATCAGATAAGAAAAATATATAAGATGCTTCTAAATTAGTAAGAAAGATGTAAAACTGTCAGTATTTGCAGATGACATGATACTATATATAGAAAACCCCAAAAATACCATGAAAAACTATTAGAATTAACACAAGAATTCAATAAAGCTGCAGGATACAAAATTTACATGCTGAAATCTGTTGTATTTCTATACACTAATAATGAACTAGCAGAAAGAGAAATTAAGTAAACAACCCTATTTACACATGCATCAAAAAGAATAAAAGACCTAGAAGTAAATTTCACCAAGAAGGTGAAAGACCCCTACTCTGAAAACTATATGACACTGATGAGAGAAGTTGAAGACGACCCAAATAAATAGAAACATACACCATGTTCATGGATTGGAAGAATCAATATTGTAAAAATGGCCACACTACCCAAGCAATCCAAAAATTCAACATAATCCCTGTCAAAATAACAATAGTATTTTTCACAAAACAAGAACAAATAATCCTAAATTTTTTATGGAATTTTAGAGATCTCAAAGAGACAAAGAAATCTTGAGAAAGAACAAGTTGGAGGTATCATGATTGCAGATTTCAAATTACATTACAAAGCTATAGTAATCAAAACAGTATGGTGCTGGCACAACAAGACACATAGATCAACGAAACAAAATAGAGAGCCCAGAAATAAGCCCACACTCACATGGTCAGTTAATCTATGACAAAAGAGGCAAGAATATACACAATGGGGAAAAGAGAGTCTCTTTAATAAATGGTGTTGGGAAAATTAGACGGGTACATGCAAAAGGATAAAAGTGAACCACCTGCTTACACCAGACATGAAAATAAACTCAAAATGGATTAAAGACTTAAATGTAAGACCTGAAACCATAAAACTCCTAAAGGAAAACATAGGCAGCAAACTCTTAGACATCAGTCTTAGTAGTATTCTTTTCAATGTGTCTCCTCAGGCAAGGGCAACAAAAGCAAAAATAAACAATTGTGACTCCATCTAACTAAAATCTTTTGGACAGTGAAGGAAACAATTAACAAAACAAAAAGGCAATCTACTGAATGGGAGAAGTTATTTGCAAATGATGTATGTGGTAAGGGGTGTATGGTACATACTAGAAGTCTGTTTGTGCAAGCACACCCTGAATGTCTGTGTTAATCACTATCTTGAGAATGCAGAGATCCTATCCTCCTTTTATATTCCCATCAAACAGAATAGGTAGAAGAACATGTTGTTCAGTATTCAAGGTTAGGAGATCCAATGGTGGCCAACCCAATATCTCCCTTGTAACAAAGAATGTCTGGATGCTAGGCCTCAATCTCCTTGGAACACTGGCTGTGCACAGAAGGGAAGGGCTACAGATAGTTGCTAGACTAGTTGCTACACTATAAAAACTTATTGCATGTGGATTCCAGAAGTGGATGCTTTGTCCAGTTGGCCACTTCTGGATTTCCTGTATGTAAGTTCCCCAAATAAACCTATGTCTTGATCTCTGTCTCTAAGTCACTCTTTTAGCCTTGCCAGGCCATCATCTACCCTTGGCTTAGAGTCTGCTGGTGTGTGGCTACACAAAGGGTTAAAATCCAAAATATATAAAAACTCATAAAACTCAATACCAAAAAAAAGTCCAACTAAAAATGGACAGACGATGGGGCACCTGGGTGGCTCAGTCAGTTGACTGTCTGACTTTGGCTCAGGCCATGATCTCGCAGTTCGTGAGTTCCAGTCCCGTGTCAGGCTCTGTGCTGATGGCTCGGAGCCTGGAGCCTGTTTCAGATTCTGTGTCTCCCTCTCTCTACCCCTTCCCCGCTCATGCTCTGTCTCTCTCTGTCTCTCAAAAATGAACAAACGTTAAAAAAATTTTTTTAAATGGGCAGATGACCTAAATAGACACTTTTCCAAAGAAGACATACAAATAGCCAACAGACACATCAAAAGATGCTCAACATTGTTAATCATCAGGGAAATGCAAATCAAAACCAAAATGAGTGACACCATTTTGACATCTGACACCAGTCACAGTGGCTAGTTTCAAAAAGACAAGAAATAACAAGTTTTGACAAGGACGTGGAGAAAAAGGAATGCCTGTGTACTGTTGGTGAGAATGTACACTGGTGAAGCCGCTACAAAAAACAGTGTGAAGGTTCTTCAAAAATTTTAAAATAGGAATACTATACAATCCAGTAATTCTACTTCTGGGTATTTACCTGAAGAAAATGAAAACACTAATTCAAAAAGATATATGCACCCCTATATTTATTGCAGCATTATTTATAATAGCCAAGATATGGAAGCAACCTAAGTGTCCATTGATATGATGAATGGATACAGAACGTGATGTATATATGTACACATGCACACACACACACACACAATATGGAATATTATTGAGACTTAAAAAGAACAAAATCTTGCCATTTCAACAACATGAATGGACCTAGAGATTATTATGCTAAGTGAAATAAATCAGAGAAAGACAAATACCATAGGATTTCACTTATATGTGCAATCTAAAAAACAAAACAAATGAACAACTAACAACAAAACAGACTCTTAAACAGAGAACTGATGGTTGCCAGAGGGGAGGAGACTACGACCATGGGTGAAACAGCTGAAGGACATTGAGACATAAAATTCCAGTTATAAAATAAATCACAGGGATGAAAAGTACAGCAAGGGGAATATAGTCAATAATATTGTAATAATACTGTATGGTGGCAGATAGTGACTACAGTTATCATGGGAAGAATTTTTGTAAATGTTATAAATATATAAATGTCAAATCACTATGATGGACACCTCAAACTCATATAATATTGTATGTCAACTATATTTCAACTAAAAGTACATATAGTAAAAGTTAGCTTTGGAAAAGTATCTAAGATGATGACAGAGAAGGTGTAAAAAGTTGGCTGCTCACACCCACTAGGATGGCTACTATCAAAAAAAGGAGAAATCAAGTGTTGGCAAGAATGTGGACAAAATGGAACCCTTGTTCACTGTTGGTAAGTCGAGTTTCTGTGGACAACAGTATGGCAGTTCCTCAAAAAATTACACATAGAATTACCATTTGATGCAGTAATTCCACTCCTAGGTATATATACCCAAAAGAATTGAATCAGGGTCTTAAAGAGAAATCCGTACACTGTGCTAATAGCAGTGTTATTCCTGATAGCCATAAGGTGGAAGCAACTTTGACAGATGAATGGATAAGTGAATGTGGTCTATACATATAATAAAATATTATTCAGCCTTAAAAAAGAAGGAAATTCTGATACATGCTATCACATGACTAAACCTTGAAGACATTATCCTAAGTGAAATAAGCCAGTCACAAGACAAATGCTGTATGATTCCATTAATAAGAGGTATGTACAGAAGTCAAAATCATAGAGACAAATAGCAGAGTGGTGCTTTCTGGGCTCTGTGGGGATGAGGAAATGGGGAATTTTTGTTTAACGAGTATAGAGTTTCAGTTTTACAAGAGAAAAAGAGTTCTGGAGAGGGATAGTAGAGGTAGTTGCACAACAATGTGAATATACTTGATACCACTGAGCTAGCTATATGCTTAAAAAATGGTTGGGGTGCCTGGCTGGCTCAGTCAGTTGAGCGTCCAACTTCAGCTCGGGTCATGATCTCACGGTCTGTGGGTTCGAGCCCCGTGTCGGGCTTTGTGCGGACAGCTCGGAACCTGGAGCCTGTTTCACATTCTGTGTCTCCCTCTCTCTCTGACCCTCCCCCGTTCATGCTCTGTCTCTCTCTGCCTCAAAAATAAATAAACATTAAGGGGAAAAAAAAGTTTAAAAAAAAATGGTTAAGAGCGGCAGTGCCTGGGTGACTCGGATGAGCATCCGACTCTTGATTTCAGCTCATGCCATGATCTCAGGGTTGTGGTATCAACCTTAAGAGAGACCTTAAGATTTTCTCTCCATCTCTGGAGCACCTGGGTGGCTCAGTCGGTTAGGTGTCCAACTTTGGCTCAGGTCATGATCTCATGGTTTGTGGGATGGAGCCCCACACATCAGATCTGTGTCCCTCTGTCTCTGCCCCTCCCCTGCTTACTTACGCTCACTTTCTCTCTCAAAAAATAAACACTAAAATATATTTTTTTAAAAAGATCCCCTCCTCTCTCTCTCTCCCTCTGTCCCCTCTCCCCACTCACACACTCTCTCTCTCTAAAAAAAAAAAAAAAAAGGTTAATATGGTAACTTTTATCAGAACTCTTAAAAATTGAAAAAAAAATTTTAAGTTGGCTGCTTAAATACTGAGATAGTAGTGTGAGGAAATAATCT